TTATTATTATTATTATTATTTTAAAGATTTATTTATTTATTTATTTATTTATTTGAGAGAGAGAGCGCACGCATGCGTGCAGGGAGGAGGGGCAGAGGGAGAGGGAGAGAAACTCTTAAGCAGATTCCACCCTGAGCACGGAGCCTGACAAGGGGCTTGATCTCAGGACTCTGGGATCACAACCTGAGCCAAAACCAAGAGTCGGATGCTTAACTGACTGTGCCACCCAGGCGCCCCTATTATTACTTTTATAAGTAGGCTCTACACCCAACGTGGGGTTTGAATTCTCGAACCTGAGATCAAGAGTCACAGGCTCTACCTACTGAGCCAGCCAGGCACCCCTAGGATAAAAGTTATTTAGAGCTTTTGATGATGGGATCCTCTGTCGACAGTTAAAAACTTAACTAAAAAATTATACAACTGGCTATGAAGAGTGTTTGCATATGTCCAAACTCATAGAATTGCACTCATGAGATATGCATGGTTCTTTGTGTATCAACAGTTATACCTCAATAAAGCATTTTCCTTTAAAAAGAAACCGAAACAGGGGTGCCTGGGTGGCTCAGTCGGTTGTGTCTGCCTTCAGCTCAGGTCATGATCCCGGGGTCTTGGGATTGAGCCCCACATCGGGCTCCCTGCTCCGCGGGAAGCCTGCTTCTCCCTCTCCCTCCGCTGTTCCCCCTGCTTGTGCACGTGTGCATGTGCGCGCTCTCTCTCTCTCTCTGTCAAATAAATAAATAAAATCTTAAAAAAAAAAAAAAAGAAACCCAAACAGAGGAAACAAAATGATGATGGAGAATAGATCAGATTAACTACAAACAGGGCTTTACTGATTTAAATTATGCAACCAGAACCACGGGCTCTGAAAACAAAACAAAACTTGGGTGTTAAAACCAAATAGTCCATGGAAATATTTCAAAAATAAAATGAAATGTACAAATAACCAATGACTGATAAGGGAAAATTTCAGTTATACCTTATGTGCTCATGGAAACACTAAATCTGAGCTAGTTCTGAAAACATTAGGTTTCCTGGCTCTCCCCGAAATGGAGAGAGTCCGTAACTGCGCAGGTCCCCGGGACAATTATGTCTCATGACATAATTGGTCATGTCTGGCCCCAAATACTCAAAGTTTGAGTGAACTCAACTTCTCTTCTTGGATCTTAGGGAGGAGGCAGAAGAAATTCCCTCCAACTTTCCCCTCTCCCTCTAGAGCAGGGCTTTTCAAACTTGGCTACTCATTACAAACCATCGGGGAGCTTTGAAAGATCTTGATGTTCAGGCCACAGCCAGACCAAATAAATCAGAATTCGGGGGGTAGGTCCCAGGCACTGGTATTTTATAAAATGTCTTGGTGACGCCAATGTGCGGTCAAGGCTGAGAACCACGACTCTAGCAAAACATAATTATTTTAAGATCAAATTTATACTGGGCTCTTACTTTGCTTCAGAATGTTTTAAAGGCTGCCAAAATGTCATTGTTTGCAGGGACCACCAGCATTCAGACCATCTACAGATGACCACTGATGTCTCTTTGTTTTAGTTATTAAAAATAAGAGGGGGCTAAATGCAATTGGATCTTGGAACAGAAAAAAAAAAAATGGGCATTCGTGGAAAAACCGGTAAAGCTCAAATGAAGTCTATAGTTTAGTACCAATAATATCAGAGTTTACTAGTTCCCATGCTAATCTCTCGGTTTTGGAAAAATGTCATACACTTCGTAAACTATAACAATTGGGGAAGCTGGGTGGAGGGTCTATGGGGAACTCTGCTCTTTTTGCCAACTCTTGCGAGTTTAATTATTTCAAAATAAAAAGTTAAAAAGTGAAATTAAAACAGGCAAAGCTAGTACTAATGCTGCAGAACTGCGGATTAGCCAATGATATTAAATATCCTGGGGCCCAAAGTCGTGCCTGGTGGATTTAGGCACTTTATTAAAGAATATAACCTGATGGTGTGAGAGAAGCTTAGAGAACCTTCCAATTTCCTGTCTTCCTTCTGCTTTTATAGACCTCGTCTCCAGGCCCATCCAGATCCTACAAAATGTCATCAACAGCAGTTAGAATGAAAGGCCTTGCCGGCCATAGAGGACCTTGAAGTTCATCTAGTCTACTCTAAGGAATCTAATACTGCTGGTGGATCGTACACTTGTTCGGTGTTCTACAGCTCACAAGCCCTTTCCAAATGTTAGTCTTGAATAGGCAAATCCACAAGGTACACCATGGGCTATAATAAAAGATGGAGCTTCGATTTCATTTCATTATAGGAGGTACAGGGTCGCACCTGCATGAATCCCTCACCCACACACACTCCACATCATAGTACACACGCACAATTCGGATACACGGTTATTAAAAGATTCTATGTTGGGGGCGCCTGGATGGCTCAGTCGGTGAAGCGTCTGCCTTCGGCTCAGGTCATGATCCTGGGGTCCTGGGATCGAGTCCCCACATCAGGCTCCCTGCTCCGCGGGAGGCCTGCTTCTCCCTCTGCCTCTGCCCCCTCCCACCACTACTGCTTGCTTTCTCTCTCTCAAATAAATAAATAAAATAAAAGATTCTATGTGAGTCTGGCAGCGCCCAGAGTGAGGGCCAGAGGTGCCTATCGCAAGGCTAAGTGCTCACTGACCCGTGACTACCAACCTAGGCCGGGGCTCAGCTGCAGGCACAACTTCATGGTAGCAACTGTCCTCCTCCCTCCTACCAGGAAAAGGAGGAAAGTTCAGATGACCCACAAGGCCATCAGCCAACATCTGTTGGCCCCAGGCGTTGTCAGGCCACAACTGACTGGGCCCTGAGTCACGGCCACCCCTTTGTTTCTGTCTCCTTGGCTAGTCCCTTGGGGGCCCTGGGTCTTGATTTCTGCGGTGCCCCCGACACTAGCCGGGTCCCCGTCAGTCGGGCCCACCTGGCAGCTGCAGCCCTTGCCCACTGAGCTCCCATCAGCTTCTACCGCTCTGACGCTTGCTGGACGGATCCTCCCGCCCGGCCTGGGGTGAAGGGGACGGGGGTGGCCACACTCTCCCTGGACCCTGCCAGAAGATGGCTCCCATCCTCCCCATGACTTCCCCCACAGAGCCCTCCATGTCTCCAGTTCCATCACTCAAGGGAGTAGGACGCTTCCTGGCAGCCTGGCCTCACACTCACGTGCTCAGGGGCACACTCACGCTTTCCTGGCCAGCCCAGAGAACCGGGAGCACTAAGACCGAAGGCGCACAGGCTGGGTTTTTTTGTTTTGTTTTTTTGTTGTTGTTTTTAAGTAGGATCTACGCCAGCATGGAGCCCAACGTGGGGCTTGAACTCACAACCCCGAGATCAAGACCTGAGCTGAGATCAAGAGTCGGACGCCTCACCGACTGAGCCACCCAGGTGGCCCGGAGGGTGACTTTCTACCTTACAGCCGATTCATTCTGGCCTGTGCTGTTCAGGCAGAGATGTGAACCATTCAGCAGGCGTATTTCTTCTTCGCTGGCCCAGGACAACATGCTCCTTCTTTGATTCTTGTTTATTCAAAAGGGAAGTCTAATTGGGGCTCATGCAGGGTGCACGGATCTTTAACAAGAGTAAACATACTTGGGCAACGTGAACAATGGGATATGATTAATTGAAACTTCTGGTTTCCTTCTAATTAGTGAAATGTATGACTAGCAATTTAGGGGGTTGAACCGTGATTCTCAGGGAAAGGGGTAGAAAACACCTGCATCTGTGAATGTAGTTGCGATGTATATTTGTTTTAAAGCATTTATTTTCTTACTATGCCGGCTCCTTCCCACCAGGTTCCTCCCGCTCCCAGCCGTGCTCACTGGTCCTACTTGTGGGCATAGTGATCGTTCTAGACAAGGGCAACTCTCCTGCTTCCCTTCCTGCCCAGTTCCCGAGGCCGACCTGGCCCCTCCTGGCTTTCCTGAGGAAGACAGAGCTCTGCTCCCCACGCCTGCAACCCGATCACACCAGCATGTGAAACGTTGCTAATTAAGAGAGCAAATGTTCCACTTCATCCAAGACAGTCCTCATTTACGCGCCCTTTCACTCACACCGTCCCAGTGCAGACAATCAATCAGATGGCCGCCCTGCCCACTTGCAGCTCCTGAGGCTAAGTGCACCCGTGTGCAGGTACATCTGATGACCCTTCCAACTGCCCGAAGTGGGTCCCTCCTGTCCTTGTGTCTGAGCCTGTCCTGCCTCGATGGCACCATCTTGATGGAGGGGGCACACGCCGCCCCTCCCCGTACTGTCTTGTCCAGCCACTAACCTACCATTCTCTTTAATATTCTAGGAAATCATCTCTGCAATTCTAAGCATTTGGAAAGAGAGAGAGAAGGAGTGAGTGTACACAAAGGAAAAAAATTGTGAAACATTTCCCTTTTGCATCTTATCTAGGAATCTGTGCAGGTATTCACTGTACTCTTTGGTAACAGTATATTAAGAAGGAAATTGAAATTTTAGCAAAGGTATTCCTTGCCTGGGTCGCAAAATGCCACTTTACAGAGGCAAATTGAAAACCACTGAAAACAAATGTACTTTTCATCAGATGAATGATACGAATTTTCGATCGCTATATTCGATTTCAGCTGAGACAGTGAAACTGCACAGATCCTTTTCATTTTGAGTTTATCATCAAATTCATTTCCTGTTATTGTTACTCTAGCACTGGAGAGAAATATTTAATTTCCAGAAGTTTTCATTTAACTCTAATAGGAAACAAACCCATACAAAACCGACTTTAAAAAAAAAAAAACAAAAACATTTCGGTTCTGAACATGGACCTGCTTGATTATAAGAACCAGTTTACCTAATAATTTTGTATGAGCATTGCCCTAATTATATCCTTTGGCTGTTCCAGGCATGATCACAAGGTCTTTGAAATTCGGACGATGAACTTGGACTGACCCCGTAGCACAGGACCCAAGCGGCCCGCGGCCCGCACTGTTGACAGATGGGACAGCGCGATGTCAGGGCCTCACTGTCCCTGCAGGTCGGGAGGGCCCGTGGCGGCACTTACGTCTCATCTGTGAAGGCTATTCCAAAGTATTCCTTTTCCTTCAGATTGAAGTGAGAGGCCACGAGGTCCAGCAGCTCCTTGGCCAGAAGCTTGGGCTGGGGGAAGAATAGAGGGGAGAAGGACAAGTGAGCAGAGGTGACTTTCCCCAAGACCCGCCACTCCAGGCCAGCAGAACATTTGAAACGGGGTGTCTCAAAGCGCACGTACATCAACACAAATGATTTCTGGAAAACCCACAGGAGTAGGCGATGAGGACGCCGCCAAGCAAAAAGCCAAGCACAGGGCCACAAACGGGTGGAGACCTTCCGCTTTGTTTCCCTGGTAGTTTGTTCTAGAACAAATGGCACCTGCTCTTTGGCAGGGCTGTCAAGCCCTCTGGCTCTTCTTCCCCACACAGGGGAACGTTTTACACCGCACCGAGAGGAAGATGCCTCATACGGGTATAGTTTTATGTATATACATGTAATATATAGTCACATAGGATGTGCTACATTCTAAGCACTATACAAACACCAGCATCTCTGCTCCTCATCACAACCCCAGGAGGTGCTCCTGTCACTAACTCTGTCATATGCGGTGGAACCAGGCACCAGAGATTAAGCAAGTGTTGGGACTGGGATCTGAATCCTCGCTCCGGAGACTCTGCCCTTGACCACTCCATCCGCTCCGTGATTCTGAATACAAACGTTAAAATACCCTCCTCCAGGAATGTTAAAATTAAGGCCAAAGAACCTTGGGATTGGAATTTAAGCATAAACGACAAATTCAACCTCCAGTTACCTTGCCAAAGGAGAAGAATAGTCTTTATGTGAGAGTGTTTTTATCATAAACTCTTTTTTAAACACCTCTGTCAATCTAAAGGAGTGTGCCAGAGATTTAGGAATGAAATCACTGTCGAGGTCCATATTTTTTTTTTTTTTTATTTGACAGAGAGCGACATAGCGCGAGAGGGAACACGAGCAGGGGGAGTGGGCGAGGGAGAAGCAGGCTCCCCACTGTGCAGGGAGCCTGATGCGGGGCTCGATCCCAGGACCTTGGGATCACAACCCGAGCCGAAAGGCAGCCGCTTAACCGACTGAGCCACCCAGGCGCCACGACAGTTTAATGTCTAATTTCACTTTCTGAGTGTTGCTATGAACCACTCTGAGTCCCTCTCCAAATCTGTATGCTGAGGCCCTAATCCCCTCAGTGGTGGCATTTGGAGATGGGACCTTTGGGAGGCGAACTGGGGTTAGATGAAGTCATAAGGGTGGTGCTGTCACGAATGGGGTCAGTGGCCTTACGAGAAGAGACACCAGAGAGAGTGCTCACATTCTCCCTCTCCACCATGTGAGGACACAGGGCCAAGTCAGCCATCTGCAAGCCAGGAAGAGGGCCCTCATGAGAGCCCACCCAGGTTGGGCACCCTGGTCTCGAACTTCCAGCCTCCAGAGGTGTGAGAAAATAAATTTCTGTTGCTCAAGCCCCCCAGGCTGTGATATTTTGTAATGGCAGCCCAACATGACTAATACAGGTACACTTCCCTTTAATTCAACAAATATTTACCGACTGTCTAATGTGTGCAGGGCAACTAGCCAATACTGCAGGACACGGAGAAAGAAGTGGCACATAGCACCTGCCGATAAGGAGTGCTTATCAGGGGCACAGCCTACGAGCTCATGTTCATTTTAAAATGCCAAAGCGCATAGGTTCCTTTGCTGTCTCACTCCTGGGCTCACAGGGTAGCAGCGTCTGGGCCTCCATGACCATCAGTTTACCAATAAAAGCAACTGGAAATGACAGGACTGGGCTTGAAGCTAGGGCAGAGCATCCTCTCCCTGGAAGCCGGAAATGAACGGGAGAATCTATTATGATAAACGAACACTATCTAATATATTCTACTTCTGCTCATGCTAAAATGTGAAAAAGTGAATAAGTAGTCCCTGTAACCAACAGGGAATTCAAGATTTTCTGTAAGATCCTCCTCCTTCATAAATGGTAGACAGCCTACCATGGGGATCCGGATGCAGTGGGGTAAACGTGGCTCAGCTCAGGATGTCACCAATCAATTACAAAGTAGATCAAAGGGGGGGTGGGGTGCAGGCCGTGTTTGCTGCAGGCTCAGCACTACCTCCAGCCCCCGCACCCCCCCCCCAGCCCCGGAAGGTCCCTGGCTGCCGAGGTACAGAGCATTTAATGCAGAGGTCGTGACCGAATGTAAGGTAGGTATGGCTGACTTTTAAATCGCAATGCACCATACTTTATCTATCCAAATGATTGCTATTCCTTTCAAAGTAGTCACAGTATTCCTATGATGCCTGCTAATTCTGAAAATATTTTTGATAATCTTTTGGGTTGCCTTTGAAGCTCATGTCATATTTGTAAAAGCATCCTCTCCGGTGATAAACTTTTTGCACTCAGAATGGATTTGATTTTTTTTTTTTCTAAGTGGCAAAAGTCACTTAAAGTCGAGTGTAGTGAGTGGGACAGAGGGGGAGGAGGAGGTGGTCCAACTGGTTTTATAAAATGAGGTGTGACTATTAGGTAATTGTGGGTTCTTGGGGTTTATGGTGAGGTTTCTGGCCCCAAACTGAAAATGACAGAAACCAGGTTTCCTTCCCTTTAAGATTAAATGTTAAAGCCAACATCTCAACGGAATTGATCAGAGACACATAAACTCACCCAGGAAGGGAAAGAATTACTCTCAGGGCTAGTACAGTTTTTCTGTAACGTGATTAAGTAGAGTAATCATTCTGTGGAAGGGGTGGGGTGAATGGAAGGTGTGTGGGGGGAGAGGAATAGAAGGGGGAAGCAAATGGGGTCTTAGCCAAGAGGGCTTGGATACCGGGGCCCCGGTGGTAAGGACTCTTACAGGCCAGACATGGAGGCAGGGGGCTACTTTAGCTGATCATAGGAAATGCTCATCCATGTAACTCTCCTTCTAACGTCATGCCTTCTAAAGAACTCACCGAGGCCTTCCTATGTCTTAGACATGGTGCTGAGCACTCTCCCATACGATCGCCTTACCATCTAGAATAAGATCCTGCCGTTCCTTTGCCAGTGGAGATTTTGAGACTTGGAGATGGCAGGCAGGCAGTCCTCGCTCTCACAGCAAAGCCAGGATTCCAGACAAAGTCAGGCCAGACTCAAGGGCCACGCGCATCACCCCCTGCCATCCTGCCCCTGCTGACTCTCCTTCCTGGGGGCGAGGGCAAGGATCACGTGCCCCGAGGGCCCCATCTGGGTGGGGGCTGTGCCGCTCACCAGAAGCCAGTACACTCAGTATGGATTTACACGTCGGTACTTTGAACTTGGGTAATGTGGGTCTTCCCCCGAGGATGAAAAGTCATGTTTCTGAGTCTGCAGAGCTTAAGAACTGACTCGACATGCTGAAGAAATCACCAGAATAATGGATGCCACTCCAGGAGCCTCGTGGAGACAGACTTCTGGCTTCTCTGTGGTGACAGAGCCCTATGATTTAGCCTGAACCACAACCTTGTCTACAGTGGGAAAACGAAATTTCTTGGTGACTCCTCAACTGAGCAACAGCAACACCACTGGATAAATTATCATCTCAAACTAACCCTTTTAAAGGACTGTACCTATCTGAATGCTCATCTTCAGTTAAAAAATGAAAAAGGTCAGTCCTGTTGCTTTACATGACAGTTATGATGGATCACATGCACCACTCTCAGTGAAGAAAAGCCTAAATTTATTACCACAATTTACAAACAGGCAAATAAAGGCACTGAAGGGAAAGAGAGCGGATGCAGAAGATGCTGAGGTTACAACTCCTGAATCTCATGCCCTTTGAAAAGCCACACTCTTCCTTCTACTGTCACGGTGAGTGGTGACAGCCCGGCGGGCGGCCGCTGATCGCTGGCAGGGAGGGCTCCGCTCCCACAAGCCTGACGGGTGTGTAGTGTGAGCGGTTAAGCCACTGTGATGTTTGGGGTGGTTTGTCCTCACAGCACAACCTCGCCTATCCTGATTGATTCAGGCACCATATCAATGATTCTTTAATTCTCTGTATGGTTGGTTTAAAAACCACTTAAGGCATCAGCTCTGTGATTTCCCGATCTTGCAAACGGAGACAATATCCTACCTTGACATGCTAGTGATTAATGAACAACATTGTTCTGAACATTTCTTCAACTCATTTAGAGAAAGTTGCTGGGTAAGCAGAAAGCTTTATGCCATTATGTACTTTCAAGGGATGTTTACAGAATCCTGCTGATTATAGTTTGCTGGTTACTTGTGCTATAAACATTTGTGGGGCTTTGCAGGGACCAGGCTGGGAGCGAGGCCAGAAAGGCAGCCGGTGGCCCAATCAAGTTCTACTGGACACACTGGGCAGGCTAAGTGTGTCTCAGGTTAGAAGCAGCCTGTTCTGGGTCACGGGTGCTGTCCTCGCCCCACGAGGTCAGTACATTTCAGACTGACTTTCTTCCAGCCTGTAATTAACTACGCTTGCTCAATAGCCTCTCCCTTTTCATTTTCCTTTCTCTTCTCAGATTCTTTTTCCCTTTGTCCTTCTAAGTTTTTATTCCTCTTTCTATTTGACAAATAGAATCTCTTTATAAATGTCCCACTTGAAATGTGCTGCCTGATAGGAGCTGCTGAAGACACTAGCAGGATGGCCTTTCTGGGGCTAAGAGAACTTAGAGACCTGGGTTTTGGTCACATTCTTCAGGGAAAAGGGCAGGGTAGCTCTTTGGCATTGCAGTGTGGCCCTACCACCCAGATTTGAGTTCCCCAGGGCTCTGGACTATTCCAGGGGGAAATGTGCTCATTCCCAGCACACACAGGCTTCCAGAATAGACCCTGTTTCATGCCTGGTCTGCCTTCCAAGATGGGACATGATCAAAAGAACACTTCACACAGAGGGGGGAGCTATGAACTGTTCTAGGGATGTCCCCAGGTGATGATCCTTCCAGATGATCACCGTGAGCCGCCTTGGCAGAGCCCAGAGAGAGGAAATGGATGACCAATGGCACCCTGGCTCCTCTCTATAGTTTCCCAGACGATATTTTACCATCACTATGAACTTAACACGACTACATCCCAGACAGATGCTCTTGGACAAAATGTACCACCTCTCTGAGCCTCAGAGTGC